AGTGAAATATCAATAGTTGAATGATTTTTGAGTTGTAAAACAAAGTTGAGTGACTTTTTAAGAGAACAACTCAAAGTTGAGTGACTTTCTAAGTGAACAATTCAAAGTTGAGTGACCATCTGAGATATTAACTCGTGTCAGAGGAGAGCTTAAAAACACACATTTCCTATCAACACGGACAGAAGAACTTCATTTTATTCTTTCGTACATGATTCTTTATATGCTAGTTTCTGGGTATGCTTAGCGCGTGTATCTCATATTATTTGTATATATATTTTTAAAAATACAAGACACTGTTGAATAAAATCAAAATCCACACTATCTAATTTTTACAAAATGCCATATATATAACTTGAGAAAAACTTAAAAATCCGACTTAAGCCATGATACACAAATCACTTTTATCTCAAAATTTAATTTATTGCTTGTTACTTGTGCAAACAATAAAAACTTGAAATTCTATGAGTAATGTAATATAAATATCAAATTGATGTTATTAAACTATGAGAAGATAGAGTTAGCTATAAGACTAATTCTGAATCTTAATATGAAAAATTTCAAATATTTATTGTTACAGACCCAAAAAAAATCAAGTATAATACAAATAGATCTTACAAATAGTTGATTTGTTTGCAAAAGAAAAATCTGAAAATTACATCCAAAAAGGAATAATACTTACGGATAAACACATGAGGAATGTGAGCAATTTTGTACCAGTCTTGTCGTATTCCCTTCTCACATCGGTCGGCCAGTGTTGGACAATACTTAACTGATAATTTTGTGAGGGCTGTTAGGTGCTGCAATCCCTCGGGTAAACATTGTAGCATCTCACAGTATGTTATGGATAACTGTGTGAGTGAAGTTAAACCTTTCACCCCTTCCTCGGGGAGACTCTCTAGTGCGACACACCAATAAATATTCAGATGCTTCAAAGCAGTGAGACTAGCCAGGCTGGTAGGCAGCTCTTTGAGATTCTTAAAGAAAGAGATTTCCAAGTCTTTGAGATTTGCAAGACTTTTGAACATCTCTTCTGGGAGCGAAGTAGCTTCTTTGTTACTGCTAATATGGAGGGAAGTAAGAGCCCTGAGATTAGATATGGAACTGAAACCAATTGCATCTGGCTTGTTCCCATCGAAATACCAATTTCTGGACAGAAGAAAGGGTCGGAATAACAAACATAGGGCACCGGCAAATCTCCATCTCTTCAAGGACAGGGAATTGCTCTTCTCCTTCCTTTTTCAGCAATCCTTTCAGATTATCAAATTTGCCTATAAAAAGTTTTCTCAGAGATGGAAACTTTCTTCTGGTAGGGAATCCAGAATCAACATACTCCACCTCCGCAGACCCCTTGTGTAACTCTAGACTTTCTAGACAAGGCAGCTCACCAAAGGGTGGTAAGCATGAGCAGTTTTCGCAACCTTCAATTACAATAGAGACAACATCTTTCAAAACTGAGTGATTCATCCAGTCTGGGAGACGGATTCCTCTGAAGCCTCTGATTGTTAAAGAAGTCAGATTGGAGTGTGGTTCGAGGGCTTCAAGCACTTCAACTTCTTCTGATTCATATATATGTGGACGTTCATCTCCATATCATCTCATGCTTAAAGAATGCAGATTTTCTTTTGCAGATAAATTGGCTTCTTTTGCATCCATATCATTCTTCACTCTCTCAAGATGCGTGATTGAAATTGAGCCATAGAGATTCAGGTTTTGTAATTCACCAAGTAGATAATCTTTTCTCTCGCCAATAACAAAGCAACTTAGAGTCTTAAGGCATGTCAAAGATCCTATCCTTGGTGGCATAGAATTCAATTCATAGCAACCATGAAGTAAAAGATTTCGGAGACTACCAAGTTTATTTGTTTCTTTTGGCAAACAAGAAAATGGGCCGCAATCATGTAGATCAAGAGTCTGCAGATTTTGAAGCTTGCATAACTGCTTTGGAAGACTACGAATTCTACCATTGTCAGACGAGTTTAGGTATCTTAAATGTACTAGATCTCCAATGGAAGACGGTAACTGCTTAAGTCCTATGTAACTTAGATTAAGCACCCTCAACGAGACAAACTTTTGCAAGTGAGAACGAAGTAAGAAGACACCACTTTTGCGAAACCAATCGACATCATATGTGGGAAACCTTTTACATATATTTCACAGATATTGTTGCTTGATGCGCTTGCCGAAAACAGAGATGTTGCCAAATCATGAATGAGATCATGCATCTTGAAATAAGTTCGACCATATTGAACTTCAATCTCTTGGAAGAAAGACCTCAAGTATAATTCATTCCATACTTCATTACCTACATCCTCTAGCTCCAAGTTTCCTTTCGATAAAGAAAACCATGTGCCATCCAGAGAGAGATTAGATTTTCCTTTTCCATTTCGGTATCCTTTGGGAATACTGCACAACATGAAAAGCATTGTCTCGAATCAAGTGGAAGGTGATGGCAACTAAGTCGCAGGGCAGGCAGAATAGAACTGTCATCTTGAGGCAACTTCCAAATCTCACTATCTCTCACATGTTCCCACTGTATTTCTTCTCTCTTGAAGCGCAAATACCTCCAAGAGTTTTAGCTGCTAGAGGCACACCACCACATTCTTTCACAATCTCCTTTCCGATAGCCACAAGATTATGATTTATTTCTTCTTGGTGCCCAAATGCACGTTGCATGAACAACAACCAACAATCTTCTTGGGACAAATTTGACAATTCATATGGTTGCAAAGTTCTCATAATTGATCCAACCTTTTCAAGACGAGTAGTGGTTAGAATAGAAGCACCACTTGCTCCAACCTTCAAGACTTGTCTTAACTTAGCCCACTTATCTTGATCTTCATTCCAAACATCGTCTAAGACGAGCAAATATTTTTTTCAATTCAGCAAGTCCTGAAGCATCTTTTGAAGTGGAGCCAAGTCCATGTCACCAAGTGCCTTTTCTTCAATAGATTCTACAATTTCCTTTATTAGCCTCTTCTCATCAAAATCATCCGAGACACAAATCCATATTTTGGGATGGAAATGCTCAATTACTCTCTGATCATTGAAGACCATTTGGGCAAGTGTCGTCTTTCCTAGTCCCCCCATACCAAGTATTGGGAGGACTGAAAGTGTTTGGGCATCGCTAACATTGTTTATCATGATTTTCACTATCTCATCCTTTTCTTTGTCTCTTCCATAAACTTGTGGTTCATTTAAAACAAAACCTGGTCCAAGAAGAATTATCATTGTTAATTTATAAGATCTAAAACAACTCTGGCTTTATCCTGTCATTTAGACTTGGAGGCCTATCCTAATCCTATGAGTAAGCTATGGATTTATCTGAGATTATATGTTAAAAACTTCACCAAACAGATTTAGATAATAGATTTTGAACCCAATTAATAAATCCTATTTAGACTTGAGACGAACATTTAGATTAGACAAAATCCCAAAAGCACACATGAACTTGATGATATAAAGCTGTTTTTTAGAAAAATATTTAAAGATGAGCACTTGTTTGGCGTGTAGCAACTTGTCTCTCTATAGTCCTTTCATCCAAATGAAACTTAATTCGTTCCGCTGCAATATCATCTAGTTTCTCCATAATGTTTTTCATCCTTTTCCCAACCTTGTGACAGAAAGCGATAACGTTTGGATGATAACACCCATATTTGTTCTTCTTCTGTCTAATTAGTGCCTCAGCTTTACATTCATCCAAGATGTCATCAGCTTCATATGCAGCAGCATTGAGTTTCTGCAACCAATTTTCTATTGCCTTGTCCTTCAATTGCTTCTTCTGAGCATCTTCTAGCACAGCTTGGATTGTAGTAAACGTGCTTTGAAATTGGATAATTTTAGTTGATTTGTGCTTTCCATCCAATTGAGGGGTACGGGTGATAAGTATAGTAACAGCGAGGATAATAACAATTTCATTCTAACAATAAGAGTAAACTCAACTAATAAATGAAAGCCGAAAGAATTTTTTACCCTTTTCCCTTATTTAAAATACACATGGAGTACAGTTATTTTTAGAAAAAAGTATTTTTCGGTAACTAATTCTTTTTCAAATGGAAATGGTCAAAGGAATGGAAGTTGTGACTTGTGGTCCTGTTAATGTGTAAGACATACATGTAAAAGAAAAGTCTTTGCTTTAGATATTTTATGCAATTTTAACGCCCTTAGAAGAGGAAGTATTAACTATGTCTCAAGTTATAATATTACTAGCTTTTTTTAATTTGTTTAAAAAAGAATGATACAATTTAATAGGCACACATATATCTACTTCCTCCATCCCATTTTATGTGGCATTTTTTCAAGATTTAAACAAGTCAATCTTTAACCGTAAATTTTTCATAGATCTTCTAAACATTTTGATTTATCAATTATTGTGATTTATAGTACTTTTTATGTAGTTTACAAATATATAAATTTCATATAAATTTTTTTTGAAGATTTCATGTGTAAATTCTCAGTCAAACTTAAACTGTTTAACTCTCGAAAAACGAAAAGTGTAATGGGATAGAGGGAGTAATATTTCTCATGTTAGAGTCAAACTAACTCATGAGTAGTATTTAATGCTCATCACATTGGTTTGATGATTTGAGTACAATATTAATTGCATATGGTAGTAAATAAATTTGATAGACATGGTAACATGGGATTGTGTGTTATTTCCATTGAATAATTGAGTTTGTAATTATAACTAGTCCATTCCACATAACTTTTCATTCACAGTTGATACAAAATCATTGATTGAAATTTTATTGAAGAACTAGGTTTTATATTCTCTTTACGTGTATTTATTGATGAATAATGCAACGTTATAAGCAAAGAAAAATATCGGAAAGTACACCCGTTCCTTTACAAAATTCAGACCCCAGAAAATAACAGTACACCTAAACTAGTTAAATTTACCATATATTTTACACAATTCATACATATAACATGTTTGTATATAACCATTGTTTTTTTACGAGATAGCGTATTCAGTGAACAATTTCACATTCATCAATACCAATTTATATACATATTTCTGACATTCAAACATGTAAGAAAAACCAAAAAAATGAAGAAACACCAATTTCTATACAAACATGTAAATCCTTCCATCCCTTGCTCGGGGAGACTCTCTAGTGCGTTGTAAGCTTAGATATGGAGCTAATACTTGTTGCATCTATTTCCCCCCAGACATCCAATTTCATGACAGAAAACATGAACTGTTCTGTTTGGTGTTTTTTCCATGTGCCACAATATTCATTCAGAAAGTGATAACCAACAACTGTTAGCCAAAAGTGCATTATCCGATAAAACAGCAGCAAGTAGAGTGAATGGATTTTACCTTAACAAGTATAATACAAATTGATCCTTCATTTGTTTCCAAAAGAAAATCGGAAAATTACATAACTCACTAATATATATCCAGATTAGTAATGCGAGCAATTTTGTGCCAGTCTTCTCCTATCCTTTTCTCATAGAGTTTTTCTAGTTCTGGACATCCAGTAACTGTTAAACTTGTGAGGGATGTTAGGTGCTGCAATCCCTCCGGTAAACATTTTATCATCTCACAGTACTCAACAGATAATTCCGTGAGTGAAGTTAAACCTTCCAGCCCTTCCTCGGGGAGACTCTCTAGTGCATCACAACCAAGAATTTCCAGATGCTTCAAGGCAGTGAGACTAACCAGGCTAGTAGGCAGCTCTTTGAGATTCTTGAAAAAAGAGATTTTCAAGCATTTGAGATCTACAAGGCTTCTGAACATCTCTTCTGGGAGTGAAGTCACTTCGTCGTTACTGCTAATGTTGAGGGAAGTAAGAGTGCTAAGATTAGATATGGAGCACAAAGCTGTGTCCCCCTCAATTTCCAATTCCTTGACAGAAGAAAGAGCTGAAAAAACAAATATAGGGCAATGAATAATCTTCATCTCTTGAAGCATGGGAAATTGCTCTTCTGTTTCCTTTTTCAGCAATCCTTTCAAATTTCGAAAGTGGCATATACAAAGTTTTCTCAGGGATGGAAACCTTCGTCTTGTAGGGAATCTAGAATGAATATTATCCTCTTCAACATACTCTACCTCCCAAGACCCGTCGTATAACTCTAGACTTTCTAGACAAGGCAGCTCCCCAAAGGGTGGTAAGTGCGAGCAGTTTTCACAGCCATAAATTTCAATAGAGATGACTTTTTCCAAAACTGAATGATTCATCCAGTCTGGAAAGCGAAAACCACTGAATCCAAAGATTTTTAAATATTTCAGATTGGGGTGTGGTTTGAGGGCTTCAAGCACTTTAACTTCTTCTGATTCATATCTACGCGGTCCATTCCAAATCATGCTTAAAGAGTGCAGATTTGCTTTTGCAGATAAATTGGCTTCTTTTGCCTCCGTATCATTCTTCACCCTCTCAAGGTGTGTGATTGACATTGAGCCATGGAGATTTAAATTTCGTAGTTCACCAAGTTTATGACCTTTCTTCCTTCCCACAGCAAAACGACCTAAAGTTTTAAGGCATGTCAATGATACTATCCTTGGTGGCATAGAATTTAATCCATAGCAATGATCAAGTAAAAGATTTTGGAGACTACCAAGTTTACTTGTTTGTTTTGGCAAACAACAAAGTGAGCAGCAATTATTTAGAGCAAGAGTCTGAAGATTTTGAAGCTTGCAAAACCTCTTTGGAAGATTACAAATTTTATTGTCAGACAAGTCCAGGTATCTTAAATGTGTTAGATCTCCAATGGAAGACGGTAACTGCTTAAATCCTAATTTACTTAGATTAAGCACCCTTAATGAGACAAACTTTTTCAAGAGCAAAGGAGAGTAAGAAGACACCACTTCAGTGAAACCAATGGACATTGTATGTTTGTAATCTTTTACATTTATTTCGCGGATATTGCTGCTTGATGCACTTGCCGAAAACAGAGATGTTGCCAAATCATGGATGAGATCATGAATCTTGAAATAAGTTTTACTATATCTAACTTCAATCTCCTGGAAGAAAGACCTCAAGTATAATTCATTCCATACTTCATTACCCACATCCTCGGGCTCCAAGTTTCCTTTCGATAAAAGAAAACCATGTGCCATCCAGAGAGCGATCAGATTTTCCTTTTCCATTTTGGTGTCCTTTGGGAACACAGCACAATATGAAAAGCATCGTCTCAAATCAAGTGGAAGGTGATGATAACTCAGTCTCAGGATAGGCAAAATAGACCTTTCATCTTGAGGTAAATTCCAAATCTCACTATCTCTCACATGTTTCCATTCTCTTTCTTCTCTCTTGAAGCGTAAAAGACCTCCAAGAGTTTTGGCTGCTAGAGGCACACCCCCACACTTCTTCACAATTTCCTTTCCAATAGCCACAAGGTTAGGATTTATTTCTACTTGGTGCCCAAATGCACGTTTCATAAACAACAACCAACAATCTTCTTGAGACAGATTTGACAATTCATACGGTTTCAATGTTCCCATAATTGATCCAACCTTTTCAATACGAGTAGTGGTTAGAACAGAAGCACCACTTGCTCCAACCTTCAAGACTGCTCTTAAATTAGCCCACTTCTCTTGATCTTCATTCCAAACATCATCTAAGACGAGCAAATATTTTTTTCCATTCAGAAACTCCTGCAGTTTCTTTTGGAAAGTGGATAAGGCCATGTCACCAAGTGACTTTCGTTCAATAGATTCTACAATTGCCTTTATCAACCTCTTCTCATCAAAATCTTCCGAGACACAAACCCATATTTTGGGATAGAAATGCTCAGTCACTCTCGGATCATTGAAGACCATTTGTGCAAGAGTGGTCTTTCCCAGTCCCCCCATACCAACTATTGGGAGGACTGGAAGTTCTTGAGGATCACTAACATTGTTTATCAGGATTTTCACTATCTCATCCTTCTCTTTGTCCCTTCCATAAACTTCTGGTTCAGTTAAAACAAAACCTGTTCCACGTGATAATTATCAAGACCAAGTGCAAGATGATGCAACCGAAATACTTAACAATAAAAGAGGTATTTATGGTTCTAACAATAAAAACAGAATTCAAGATGGTATTGTGCAGCAGTAAAAAGAGGATGTTGCTTCACAAGTTGATAATTTGGGGCAGCAATCAATTACTAACGTTGTTAGAAAGGAAGGTGTTATGTCTGGAACTTTAGATGATGATTAGGGTGGTGTTCATGCTCTTGATTGAGCCATGATTGTGTTGCCCAAACTCTAGAAATCTGAGCAGCAACAAAGTTGAACTGAAGCTGTGAAAAATGCAGCATGTTGAGGTGTGGAATTCTGAACAGCTCACAACAGGGCAAGAAGGAGTGGCAACCACTATTATTGAGAAGGAGTTGAAGCTTAATGAGAGGCAACTGGTGGCCGTTGAGGATAATGTAGCAAAAAATGTTTCTTCGGCACCTGTAGGCTGTAGCCGTTATATTGATTGTACATCACGGGGTTTCTCAACTAGCAATTATAAGTTGGTGGAAATAGTGCTTGCTCCACAAATAGATTTCTAACCTACAAGGTAGGGACATCTTTGAGGAAGGTTAGGAAGAGGCTATATTGGGTCAATGTTTGCAAATGCAGCTAAGGATTTCGATATTTCTCCTAGTCAACAACACAATAACAAAAAGAATCACATAAGAAAGAATAGCTGGATGGTGAGGTGACTGAGGAGTGTTCCAAGATACCTACCGACACGACTGACAAAACGGAATCATATGATAGTGTCAACAACTTTAACAAGACTCAATATATCCAAGAAGAAATGATGAGTTATCAAGTGATTTTGTACAGATTTGAAGAGGAAGACAAGTCTCAACTTCAACAAATTACTCAACTTGGGCAATTCTTCTTTGTTAATTCTTTCATTTGTAAACGGAAGTTTGAGGATGATAACTCAACTTTCTTCTTGATTTATCATATGTAATATTAACACAAAGTATGTTATAAACTCTATGATGATCATAGGGTATCTTGCTCTTTCAAGTTCTTATTTTTGCATGCTTGTTAATTAGTGAAGGATAATTACTTCATAGGATTAGTAAGGTAAGACCTAACCGCCTTATCTGTATTTCTCCCTGCTGAGGGTTTTATTTATTAATAAGAAAAAAAAATTGCTGCTAGGCAACTACCTAGTGGCAACTGGCATATTCGCTTTAAAAAAGAAGTGAAAATGCATTAAGAACGGGGAAGAATGTTAGAGGATTTCTTAACATTTCTTATTTATGAAAGTACTTTCTATTCTATGACATGGAAGTTAAGTTATCATTAATTGTCACTCCTACAGTCTTGTAATACTAATTTTGTCTAAAAAAAAATTTAAGATGAGTACCTGTTTCCCGTCTAGCAGCTTGTTTCTCTATAATCTTTTCATGCAAATGAAAATTTCTTCTTTCCTCAGCAATTGCATCTAGTGTTTTTATCATTTCTTTCATCATTTTCCCAACCTTGTGATGAAAAGTTATAACCTTTGGATGATAACGGCCATATTCAGACTGCTTGAATTGTGTGGCCTTAGTTTTATACTCGTCCAAGATGTCATCGACTTCATATGTAGCAGCATTGAGTTTGTGCAACCAATTTTCTAGTGGCTTGTCGTTGAGTTGCTTCTCCTGAGCAGCTTCAAGGACGGCTTTGATTGTAGAAAACATGCTGGAAAGCCTTTGGAACTCATTTTGAAAACCGAAAAGCAATACAAGTTCCCCTTTGAGGAAAGAATTGAGATTTTCTAGCACAACTTGAAGGAAAGCTTCTGCCATACGTTGAATTGACTATAACGAATATTAGATATGTGATGGTAGTCTAGAGTGGAAGCAACTGGAACACAAATTAAAGTTGTTGATGATTAAACAATGAATTTGTATTTCGTTGGCTGTTGGAATGATGCAGGGCAGGGCGTGAAGTTGTATTTTAAAATATCGTGTGGGTGCATTTCAGGGAAACTACTGCACATGCCAATGGGGTCATGTCTTTCATTGCTGCCCACCACAAAGACCTTTTCGTTAGCCTTAATTTCTCTGTCAAAGTCTTCCACAGGACCATAAGACAAGCTTTCTTAAACAAATGAATTTCTTAGAAAAATCTACCTACTAATTGCAGTTATGTGTTAGTATTAGTTGGAAAACGAGAAATTATTTTATTAATATCAAAACACACCATAGTATTGTAAACTATTCCTCTAAGGAAAGAATAAACCAAATATGGAAGAAAATTATATTTTCCTTTCAGAAAAAGTTCAAGTAAATAAATAAACTTCAAATAAGGAAAGAAAATCAAGGTAAAACCCTAAGAAATCTCCCCTTTTGGCTGGATTTTCTTGATAAAACTTGATCCACCTTCTTCACATGCATGATAATCTTCGTTGTTCACATAGTCTTCATGTAGCTATACAAAAATCTTCTTTATCAGCAAATTGCACTACAAGAAAGTAGAGATATGACGACATTTATTTGGTGACATTTGAAATAAATGTCAAAAAATAAAGAATTTATTGACATTTATGAACAAATATCGCAAAAACAATGACATTTGATGCAAGATGTCATTAAAATAATGACATTTGATGCAAAATGTCATTAAAATAATGACATTTGGTCAGAATTGTCACTCTTTTATGACATTTGACATCAAATGTCAAATATATGATGACATTTTGCAACAAATGTCTTTACTTTTAGCAACATTTTGAAAAAATGTTGTTAAAATAATGACATTTTGCAACAACTGTCGTTTCTTTTATTGACATTTTGTGATAATGTTGTTAAAAGAACGACATTTTATACAAATGTCCAATATAATAAGACATTTGTTGGTAAGTGTCATTATTTTTAATAATATTTGGAAAACAATGTCGTTAAAATAATGATATTTGCCAAAAAGGTCTATATTATGACAAACGTTTCACATGTCATATTATTAATCGTTAATTACCGTCATTTACATTTATTGTTTGAAATATGAATCTTTTTAAATTTATTTGTCATTCTTTATACGACAAAGATATGAATTCACCCCTGAACTACACGATTAATCACAAATTTACCTTGTATTTAAAAAGTCTCATTTTTACTTTCCTTATTATCAAAACGACTCAATTGCCCTTATGGGTTAATGTATGTACAACAACATATATATATATAAAGGAGAAATTCTGACCATTCATAAAGTTCAAGGACCAATTTAAATAATTCGCAAAGTTTGAAGGAAAAATCATTTAAATCCTACACCCTAGCTAAATAATATTTTTTATAGTTAGGAGGAAAGTAAAATAATTTTCCCACGATCGATGTAACTAAATAGTTTTAAAAAATAACTTATATAATAGTTAAAACAACTTAATAATATTTTTTATAGTTAGGAGGAAAGTAAAATAATTTTCCCACGATCGATGGTTTGTCTCCATAAATATTGACGGATTTCAATAAAAAATAAAGAAAATGTCTATTACAGAAGAAGTATCCAAAATAAGGCAAAGTCAAATATATTAAAGAAATAAAATTGGGTCGTGTCACATGAAGTCCATGTTAAAACTTTGAATGTACAAAGCCAAAGTTTCCTAGTTTAAAATTTCCTTATTCAAAAGATTCATAGTTTAAAAGTTTCTTATTTCAAAAGTTTTATGGTTTAAAAGTTTCTTGTTTCAAAAGTTTTATGGTTTAAAAGTTTCATAGTTACTATTTCCATAAAACTATAATTTGAATCCCATTCTATTTGGGGATAGATTATCCCTATATATAGGGGTAAATTTTTGTTATTTTTTAAAAGACATGCTTAACATTATTCGACAGGTTTACGTACGTTTGGTGACTAAGGATTTATATCTTTCACCCTTATAATTATAATTAGAGGGATTCTTAACGAGGTAAGTGATTCCGGCCAAATTTAAATTTTTTGGCCTTGATAGTAGGTATTGTAAGGCTACTGTATATATTATTATATTATGTATAAGGAAAAGAGGACCCAATGTACCTCTGTACTTTGTCAATTTGAGCTGATATGCCCCTCGTTTTAAAAGCAACTAGCTCACATGTACCCTTTACTATTACAAAAGTGGCTCACATATATTCCTACCGTTACAAAAGTGATAAAATTAATTTTAAAATTACTTTTTTTGATTTTAAATATTTTTAAAACTCATCTATTTGAATTTTTTCACACATAAATTATTTTTTGACTTCTTTGATTGTTATTATTTGAGTTTCTTATTCTTATTTCATTTTTCTTTCATTATTTGGTGTAAAATAAGAGAAATAAAAGAAAGAAGTGTGAATGAAAAAAAAAATATATATATATATTTTTTTTTTGCGGCTTTATTGTAATTTAATTTTTATATATGTGAAGAAAATTTAGGACATATGTAATAAATTTGATAAGAAATAAGCTAAAAGAATAAAAATTTGAACATCAAAATAATGAATTCAAATTAGCCGTTGAATTAAAAAAGGTTTTAAAAAATGTGTGAGAAGGATTAAACATACTTATACATGGATTACTTTTTTAATGAATCCATTAGAAGAAAAGTGTATATGTGAGGGGATATATTAGACTTTTTTCTTATTGTATTAAATAACAAGTCTTCTGAGAGGTTATAGTAATAAATAAAATAAAAAATTAATTAAATAAAGTTATTAGAATGTGAAGGCCACATCAGATGTAGCAAACATTAAAAAAAACCTCCCTTTTAATAAAAAAATCGTTAATTTTGTTTTTTTCTAAAAGTCATTCTTCCATTTAGAAAGAACTCCAACCCTTTGTTAAAACCCTAGCCCATGAGATCTTTGTGCAAATTGGTTGAGTCCTTCCTTCAAATCAAGTTTAATCTGTGTTCAAGTTGGTTGGGTCGACTAAACAACTATGGAAATTATGGTTTATCGCAGATTTGTAGCGAAAAAATCTGGAGTACAACATATACAAGGAAAATTAAATTGGCGGTAAGTTTTTTGGCTTCCCTCCTTTTAGTTCCTTTTATGCTCAAAGTTCTTAGGGTTTTAGTTCTTTTGGTTTCTTTTTGGCAGCGCTTGAGGCAAGTTTATTCTCTAATTTAGGTCTTACTAATTGATAGTTGAAGATATAGAATTAATTACAATAACTTGAAGATTGTTGTAGAAATTTGTACCTTAGAACTAGATTTAGTGTTCTTGAAGTACTTCTTATATGGTGTTAACAGATTAAGTAACCATCTCACATATCGCCTTCATACGTTCTATCTAGTTTTTGAAGTTTTACCATTGATTTATTGAAACTTCACCATTGATTTACAGTTTGAAGATTAAGAGAAAAAGAAGGCAAGGTGCTAGTAGGAAGATCTTAAGCTTCAGGTGTTTTCATTGTTCTTTTTCTTTTCAAATCTTGTGCTTTTTTTCTTTCTATAATATCTAATGATTTGTGGGGTTTGTATATTTCCTTCAGTTTTGGTAGATATTGTGAATCAGTAAAAAAAAGGTTTGTGCTTTAGTGGATTCAATTGTCATTTGGATTTTAACTTGTGCTGCTCTTATGCTTCAGTTCTTAATGTGTTTTCAGTGTCATTTTTCTTCAAATTTTGTGCTTTTTTCCTTTCTGTAGTAGCTAACCATTTTTGTGGTTTGTATATTTCTTTCAATTTCGGTAGATTTTGACATATGAGTATGTACAGATGTGTACAGATATGTGCTTTAGTGGATTCTATAGCCATTTGGATTTTAACTTGTGCTCTTAAGCTTCAATTTTAATGTGTTTTCAATGTTCTTTTTCTTCAAATTTGGTGGTTCATTTTTTTTAAACTTCTATAGGATCTAATAATTTGTGTGTTTTGTATTTTATTTCGATTTGGTAGATCTTGACTTCCGAATCTGTAAGAGTATGTGTTTTTTTTTTTTGACACTATAGACTTTTGGATTTTAACTTATGCTCTTATGCTTTAGTTTGAATCTGTTCTATTTTGTTTCATCACTTGTGGTCTTAAATTATGCATTTTAATGGATTCAGCAACATTCTTGGATAGTCCAATCAACTTCGTTTGGCTAATTGTTTTTTTTTTTTTTGAATATTCTGTTCGTTATGCATTTGAAGTATTTGCTGAATGTTGCTTGAAACTCCAGTTATTCCACTAGAAGAACAGTTGCCCTCTCCAATACTCCATAAGATATTCGGTTCAGAAAGTTCTTTGATTTTATTAGTCTTCTCCATGTATGGGATTGATTATTAGTTCCTTTTCTAGCCACGTGATGTTATCTTTTGTAGTATTTGGTTTTGAGGAATTCTCTGAGAAGTAAGTTGTTAGTTCTAATGTTCCACCAGTTCTTCACCGAAAATGAGTCGCAAAAACTTTGGATCTCCCTCATTCAAATTCCCCCCTCTGAGTATGTAGGGGTAACATAGATAATCCCATGCTATCCAATGGCGTTTCTTCCTCCAATCAGCTTCAACCCAAAAAGAGATAGCCATGAGACTATCAAATTGTTTAAAGGTGCCTTCAGTAGGTTGTATCACAGAGAAAATATGAAGAGCGATAGAGGTCAGAACAGAATTGAGCATAATAGATTTACCACCAGCGGTAAGAGTTAGTGTTTTTTTGTGAAGGAGTAACTTTCTTAGCCACTTTATTAATCACTAGATCAGTAAAATGACATTTTTTGTTTTTGACTTGAAAGATAGGACTTTCTATGTACTTCAGAGGGATCTGGTATGAGAGAAGCAAGTAATAGATTTAAAACATTTTTTATGTGAATTGAGGCTTTAGGATAGACCATGAAATCAAATTTATTCTTATTTATCAGTTGACCTGAAATCTTTTCATACATATTAAGTATATCAATCATCATTATTACAGAGAGAGGGTCACCTAAATAGGGGAAAATAGTGTCATGCTGAACACCAACCATTTAAATGGAGTATCAGTTATTGCTTATGATTCTCCCAATCATCTGAATCAAAATATCATTGAACCCCATATGCCTTAAAACAACACAGAAGCATTCCCACTAAACATCTATCTTAAGCTTTGGTTGTGTTAAGTTTTAATATCTCATTGTTACTAGGATTTCTACCTTTCATATTGTGGTTTCTTATTTTGGACCATCTCTTGAATCAAATTAATATTATCAGTGATACACCCTCCTTTAATAAATCATGAATGGTTATCATAGTCCTACTATGTGGTTGGTTAGCTTATTTTTAGAAGACCAATTTATATGAACTAATCAGTGATATAAAACTACAAATGATTATCAAATGACCAACTTGAGATAATTTTTCTACAATTTTGAGTAAATATATGAAAAATAAATATAAACAGAAGCATAATCTTCATAAAAATTCACTCCATCATGATCATTGTATTATGATTACTGCTTATAATTAGGATCGCTTTCGTTTATTTATTTTATTAATATTGTTAGTTGATTTTGAATGTCTATTTTTTTTATTTGATTTTTGTTTCCTATAGGTATAGGTTATACTCTTAATGGATAAGAGTTGGATAAAATATAAAGAATAGGCTTGATCCTTTATATGAGAATGGAGCAAACAAATTTCTTCATTTTGCAATCATTAGATAGGCCTAATGCCTCTGAAATTTTGTGTCCATGTCGAAAGTGTCGTAATATGAAATTTGTTCGAAAAGATTTGATTGTTGAACATATTGTGGTTGATGGATTTCTAACTAGTTACACTAGTTGGATTTTCATGGTGAGAAATCATCTTCACCAATATGTGTGGATCAGTTAGATAAAGAAGATGAAATGCAAGACATGTTACATGAAGCATTTGGAATTCCTCCTACATCTAGCTTTGTTGATATGGACACTAGTGGGATTGATGGATTGGGTAGTTCAAACCAACATAATAGGGGGTTTGATAAGAAGACTGGAGAATTTTTTAAACTATTGAAAGAAGTTGAACGTGAGTTATACCCGGGAAGCAAGTATTCTCTACTTTCATTTCTTGTTCGTCTTTTACATTTGAAGTGTCTCAATGGGTGGAGTAACAATTCATTTTCCATGTTGCTAGAGTTGTTAAAAGATGTGCTTCCTGAAGGTGAAACATTACCCAAGTCCTTTAATGATTCAAAAAAAATTATTAAAGATTTAGGGCTTGAGTACAAAAAAATACATGCATGTCCAAATGATTGTATGATTTATTGGAATGAGAC